AGCTACATCAATATCTTAGTGAAAACACACACACATGTTAATGTGATCAAAAGTAAAAGTGTATGGAAACCCTAGCAATGGACTTTACTTCTTTAGTCCTCTTTGGTCTGTTAAATATACCAATAAAGGTGCTTTATTATGTTTGTTCATTAAGTCCAAAAATATACTTGTTGATCCTGCCAGAAAGCTGATATATTCCTGCGCTGTTGGCCTCTGCTGGCTATTAGCAGTAATATTGTTCTCAGCTATCTCGGAGGATTACAGAACCACACCCATGTATGCTATGGAGAAAAGGTCACAGGTGAGTCCTGTGGTCCTATCCTGCTTCTGTTCTCCTGATAGTATTAGGTGAAAATAACGTAAAACAAGGCTTGAAATAAACAAATGAAGCCACCACATCTAAGGATCGGTAAGCTGTAAAAATATACATTTTTTGGTCTTGGGTTTAGAGACACTTTAATTCAACTTAATGGAAATGTGAACTATCATTTTTTCTGAAAAGGTGAACCAACCCTTTAACCTATCAGCATGCTTTGAATTTTGGTAAAAGTATCAAATATCTGGAAGACACCCAAATAAATGGCAATCAGCTGATTAGATTAGACTCCGTGATTTAACATTTCAAGCAAGTCTTTTCAATACAGCGGAACCATTAAAATAACTTTCTGGTCTCAGGGAACCTCTGCTAAAGATTACTATATATATGCAACTCATGATACATTAGTGTGATGGTCAGTGGGAAGAATGTTCCTTACACTTGTGGTCCTTGGGAAGAATTCCCCCCTTACAGATAACTAAAAAGATCAGTGATGTCAAGGGGAACTTATCTGAGAGGCAGAAATTGCTCAAAGAACCCCTAGCAACCTCTGGGGGAACCCTAGTTGAAAAACCCCAATCTAGACAATTGATAGATGCTAAGATCTATTCTTTTCCCATTTTTCTACATCTTTCAGCTACTGACATGCAAATAAACATGCTGCTCTTTAGCAGGCACATAGGGGTGCCATTAATTCTTAATGGTACCCCAATGCATTGGCAAGCGCGGTGGGTTTTCAGTGCAGTGCAATTCTAAAAAAGGGACTGGGAGCTTCTTTCCCTGCATTTCTGTGAGTAGAACAACCCATTGAGATGAATAGACTACAGCACACAGCCGCAGAGATGCGAACCAAGGGCTCCTTCACACTTGAAGTTGGAAGATGGTAAAACCATGTGGCAGGAGGAGTGGCAGTCCTCGCTACTTTTTATGAACGAGCACTAACGGAATCTGCTCTTGTATTTTGGATGCATCATTATATAAACAAAAAAAATATTCTAAAAACTTTAGAGCTGTAATATGATTCATATTAGCCATAACACACAGTGCACTCTGAGTAATATACTCCTCTTCATATCCCATCCATAAATATACTATGCTGATTAGTAACAGGAACTCGCATATCGTTCAGCATATCGTTATACTGCATGTAACCTGACATCATGTAAATTGACAATGTGGTTTTCCCACTACAGCGATGGGGGGGTGTAAATCTTACAGTTTTTACATATCAACTGGTTTCACTTTCCATATATCTTTTCATCAATGTGCTAATGGATTATGCCGCTTCTTCTTACACAACTATGACATTTTTATCAATAAATTATATTACACTTGAGGCTTTTTTACAGTATCCAATAACTAAAGCAAGGTCTTTGAGGATATTTTGCAATTCAGATTTTAGGAACTTCTGCTGCTCTAATGGAGGTGTTTTTGATTGATGAGACATTCGGTGCTCTTCTTTGGTTCTTTGTTATGTCCTTTAGAGGTTACGTTACTTGAGATGGAAGTTAGAAGGGATTTTTGTACACAGCTGAAGACTTACTTATAACTTACTTATGTCCAGAGGGATGCAATTAATTTGAGTTCACAAAGCATAATGGGAAGTAAATACATTCTGGAAACATGAGAATCTTTCTATCTCCTGGAAGCAGCAAACAATAATGAAAATGCAGATTTTAAGCAGATAAATGGAAAATTTAAATATATTTCGGCATAAAATATCCAATTTGCTTAGGTTTTATTAAAGGAAACAGAGGACTAAAAATTATAAAAAATGTAAAATGTACATTTAAGATATAAAGGGCCAGAGTAATCCAGGGAGATCGTATTGCTCTCCCAAAACCAAGTACCACCATCACTCCTAGACAAGATGGGGTTGGGTGAAGAGTCACCTCCTCCTAGTCTTACCAGAATAGTCAATTCTAAATCACTTCCGCTTAACTCCAAGATCAAAATTTAGTGTAGGATTTAAGAGGGATATTTGTTTTACATTCAGTCCTAGCTTCGTTTTTCATCATAATTGCTGTATTTTTTTGTTCATGTGGTAATCACAAATATCCTTTTGTTATTGTGGTTAGTTAGTTAGCTCAGTGATTTTGAAATCCAATCATTCTGATACAATATGGAGCACAGAGAATTACTGTTAGGCTCCATTCACACTTGTACAACTCCAAAGTTGAGCGACTTTGACACAACTTTGAACGTGTGTGACTTGGATGTGACTTGTCCGTCAGCAAAGCTGGACCCACTATTGCACCACTGTTGCATGTAAAACATTCAGATATGACTTTCATGCAACTTTTGAGAGTTCACATTGAAGTCTATGGTGCTCAAGTTGCATGAAAGTTGGGCCCCTTTCACATGAGCAGACCAATCAGGTCTGCCTGTCTGTTTTTCAAGCAGACATGATCAGGCACTCCATTGCTTTCTATGGAGCGGCGAGTGTAAACGGACATGTGTCCATTTACAACTGCCTGCATCTGATCCAATCCTGTCCACTAAAAGCAGGCTAATGGGGATCTGTTCCCCATCCATCTGGCGAACCGGATCAGATGACAGTTGGATGGAAACGAACAGGCGGCTAGTTTCCATCCAACAGCCCATAGAGGACAGCGGGCTGTGTCTGTGTCCATTCTGCATAAGTGGAGTTGACACGGACCTGTCATCCACTTATTAGCAGGGATCAGCGGGCAGATTCCACGCTGAGCAAGCAGATCCGCTGACAGGTGCACCCTGTGTGAAAGGGGCCTTGCAACCACTTTAAGTCCCAACTTGATTGGTTCACCACAAAGTCCACCCTTTCAACATTTGACATCCCAGAGCCATGTATCACAAATTGCTCCTTAGCTGGCTGTTATTTTTTTTTCTCATCTTTTTTGCATATTATCTTCTTGTTTGTTGGCATAATATTCTATATTCTTTCCACAAGGTGAAACTGGTAATATTGTTATTTCTGTTGCCCTGCCAAACTGATGAATAGCTGTAGCCAGAAAATATTTTAAGGAGAAACCAATATTTGTTTTGCTCGCTTTTCTCATTTCAGTCTACTTTTTCTTATTGTAGCATTTTCCTTATTTTTTTATTTAACCTTCATTATTAATACAGAAAACATCCAAAAGAATGATGAAATAGAATTTTCTAACTATCATCTCACAATTAATCACTTTCACTTTGTTACAAGGTGCCTGCAATTTATTGATAAAATTGTGTGATTTATGCATTTAGAAAAGAAAATTGTAAACAGCAGCTGAGCAGGTTATTGTCTTCTCAGTCTCTGTATCTTAATGTCTATTCCTAGATATATATGCATAGGGGCAATATATACTCAGTACTTTAGTAGGAATAATGGGACCTTTCACTGCAGTTATATACAGAGTCCTGTGCAAGGATGGAAACATTTGACACAACTTTTTGATATATGCTGCATTTTGGAAGCTTTGGTAAAAAGAAAAAACAAATAGCGAACAAACTCATCTTTTCAGCAAATAGAAAGGTGAGTTATAGACGATATGGACCCCATGAAAACATTTTTTACTTGGTTATTTAGACTTTTTTTAAAGATACTGATTCGGAATCCTCCATTGCAAATCTACCTATTTGTAATACAACTGACTCTAAAGTCATAAAGCTATATTTTGTTAAGTTAAATTAAATATTGATTCCAAGAGAACTTGAAACCTTTGAGACATGCTCTTGGGCCTCAGTACGTTTGTTTAATGTCTGAGAGGTATAATGAAGTTAATATTAAAATGGGGAATCAATATTTTTTTTTGCATTTAAAGGACCATTCCACTCATATTTTTAAATGTATCCCAGAGATACAAAAAAGAACATTGAAAACATGTCCAAGGCTTTGTTTTCCATCTTGGCAATGTATGAATAAACCAGTCCATCCTGCTGTGTAAACTCCACTGATTGCCAGTTACCTTACTATTCTTGGAACACCTAAACCTGACCCTGTGCTTCTGCATGCAAGAGATACTCAACACCATTCATTAAACCTCTCTCTTGGTCAGTCCTGGTAGCAGGAAGAATGCAGAAGGCAGAATGAGTAGCAAGTGTTGTATTCACAGCTGGAAACTATGTCATGCTGCTCAACAGAAGAGAATCACCTTTAAGAATGATAGTCCTGCAAGTATTTAATGGGTTTTGGAAAATGGAATGTAAACATTGGTCTGATCCATACAGGGTGTACAGGTGGGAAGTGCTTAACCCCTTCGTGACCAGGCCATTTTTTGCAATCTGGGGCTGCATTACTTTAACTGAAAATTGCATGGTCACACTGCACTGCACCCAAATTAAATTTACATCCTTTTTTCCCCCACGAATAGAGCTTTCTTTTGATGGTATTTGATCGCCTGTGCGGGTTTTTTTTTTTCACTAATAAAAGACAAAAAAACAAATGAAAATTTTGAGAAAAAAAAAATATATTCTTGGATTTTTGCTATTAAACATGTCCAGTAAAAAAAATCCATTTTATCATAAATTTAGACCAAAAGGTATTCTTTTACATGTCTTTGCTAAAAAAAATCCCAGTGCGTGTAAATTAATTGGTTTACTTGAAGGTTATAGCATTTACAAATGGCGGTATATATACTGGGATTTTTTTTCTTCTTTTAACTAGTAATGGTGGTGATCAGCGACTTGTAGCGGAACTGCGGGACTGCAACAGGCCTTCTGACACTGGGGGGAACTGACTTGGTGTCACTGACATCCCCAGTGGCACCAATACAGCGATCAGTGCTAATAAAAAGCACTGACACTGTACTAATGGCACTGGGCAGGAAGGGGTTAACATGCGGGGCGATCAAAGAGTTAACTGTATGCTGTGTGTGTGTACTTCACTGTAAGCACACTGCTGCATGGCTCTGCTATGCAAAACCATGCATAGCAGTGTGCAGGAGCTGACAGGGGAGAGAACTGTATAGATTACTTACAGTTCTTTCCCTCCGTCGGTAATGCTCCTCGATCACCAGGTGCCGGTGAGTAATCACTGGCCAGGACCCAGTGATTAATAGCCGAGGCCGTGAATAGCGGTGCAAGTAGGGCACGCACGCAGGTCGTGCATTCCCCCTACCCGGAAATGCAAAATCACATATACAGTGGGGCAAAAAAGTATTTAGTCAGCCACCAATTGTGCAAGTTCTCCCACTTGAAAAGATGAGAGAGGCCTGTAATTGGCATCATAGGTAGACCTCAACTATGAGAGACAAAATGAGAAAAAAAATCCAGACAATCACATTGGCTGATTTGGAAAGAATTTATTTGCAAATTATGGTGGAAAATAAGTATTTGGTCACATACAAAGCAAGATTTTTTGCTCTCATAGACCTGTACCTTCTTCTTTAAGAGGCTCCTCTGCCCTGCACTCATTACCTGTATCAATGGCACCTGTTTGAACGTGTTATCAGTATAAAAGACACCTGTCCACAACCTAAAACAGTCACACTCCAAACTCCACTATGGTGAAGACCAAAGAGCTGTCGAAGGACACCAGAAACAAAATTGTAGACCTGCACCAGGCTGGGAAGACTGAATCTGCAATCGGCAAGCAGCTTGGTGTGAACAAATCAACTGTGGGAGCAATAATTAGAAAATGGAAGACATACAAGACCACTGATAATCTCCCTCGATCTGGGGTGTACCACTCCCCCAAATCCAAGACAGGATATTGATTGCACGTTTTACAGTCAAAATACTTCCACTGTCAAGGGAGTAACACGTATGCAATAATTCAGCTAATCCACGTAGTAAAACTTTAAGTGTACCAAATGAGCTATTGTAAAAGATGGAAATAAGGGCGGCTTCACACTGCCCCTGTGTGGTCTTGCTGCTCTTTGGACAAAGTGCAGCTAACTCACTGGTTTCCTTCCAGTTGCCTGACCTTTCCCATAGACTTCTATGAGGTCCTGAAGTTTTGGCAAAGTGTCAGAAAGTGCACCAAAGATGCAGCATGCAGGAGTTTTGGTGCGCTTTCTAAAACTGCACCAAAACTGCAAGAGCTGATAAAAGCCTATGGGGAAGCACAGCTAACCCACATGAAAACCGTAGGTTAGCTGTATTTTGTCCAAAGCACAGTGTGGTAGTGTGAAGCTGCCCTAACACATAATAATAAAAAGGCATATGTATTACACTTTTGAGAATAGAGACTAGCGTAAAGTTGTAAATCACTATGCTCTTGTAAAATGTCCAGTTTGCATGGTAAATTATGCAAGAATGTGGCATAATAATATAGAAAAAATTTGGAGCACCAATCAAAGCACTGCAAAACTTCCCTCTGGAGTCCAAAGCACAGATCAGGTGCCAACGTTCAAACAAGCTCATCTAGACCAGTGCTTCACAACCATTTTTCATTCAAGGCACCCTTTAGAATTCTAGACAATCTTGAGGCACCTTTTAAAATTTTGCATAATCTTTAGGCACCCATTACAAAATGTAAAAAACGAAACAAATAGAATGCAACAACATCTGGACATATAGGACACCCAATGTTAGAGGTGATTTATTCTTCCAAAGCAAATTAATTTTTGCACACTAGTATTGTCTAGTATGCCATTGTTTCTCTTTTCCCTCAGCTTCTCTCTCTCACTCAGCTAGTGTGACCCCAGTGCTTATGGAGAGGAGCAAGTCAGGATGCTCTGCAGATGCCCAATGCCCTTTTTATCAGCTGATGACATCAATTGTTGTAATGCCACCAGTGGCTAGAAAGTTTAATGGTGCATAATCAAATCCTGGTTTTTTTTGTGATTAAAAGGCAGGCTTGATCCACCTGCTGGCTCGTGTACAATTTTTGGGCAATTTTTAGGCATTTTTCCAAGGCATCCCTAAATAAACCTGAAGGCACCCAGGGTGCATGGGCCCCCTAACTGAAAAAGGCTGATCTAGACTAGCTGAAGCAGACTGGAGGATGGATGGTGGAAACGCTGCATGTCGGAACCCAAGCACTATATGGAAAGGTAAGATATGACTTCAGAAATCTCTATGATTAAGCCCCGTAAGCGGGACGAAACATGTTAGAGGAGCATAGCCCGGTGGAGTTTAGGCTGAAACCGCATCTTTACATCTCTATGTAGTGGCTGGGTTCTGGTGTGCAGCATTTCCACCTTCTGTCTCCTGAACGTTATCAATGCACACAAGTCTCAGATACAAATCCTTATTCTTTTAATTAACATGCTTGTACAGTTTACTGTGAATAAATATTAATTAAACATGTAACCATATTTATTGAATTACAAATTAACCTCTATACGAACTTAAGATGTGTGAAATAATAATATTGCACCCCTAGGCTAATGCTGTGAATAAGAAAAGCAGGGAATGACATACCCAAAACTCCTGACAATAAGCCTGGAAAAAAACTACACACGGCTGAAGTACATCCAGTATTTGTTTTCAGATTTACTCATCAAATGATTTGTAATTCTGTAAATCCAAACTTGTCATTTATACACATTTTCCACACTGCACAGTCACACAAGTAACAAATGTAGCTCCTGATAAACAATTTACAAATTAAAGGGCTGTAACTAATTTTTGTGTGGGGTTACATGTCATGTGTTCCTATTCTCCTTCCCTACTTCCCGTTTATCCTTCTTTCTTTTTCTTCCTGTTTTCTTTTTTCCTCCCCTCAGCCCTCCCTTGTTTTTTTGTTTTTCCCTTTTTATCTCATTGGTTTTCTTTATTCTTTTCATCTCTGCATGGTGGCATTTGCTACTTTAATATACATACACGTTTTTTTTCATGTTTTTTTGCTTTGCTTGATCTTTTGTTTTTAGCTGTCCACACTCTGCTACTCATTTATTATTTTATTTATGCGTTAGGATCTAAGACTTTTTTTATATTTTATAGAAATAAATCAATTGTTAGCTTGATGGGGAACTTACATTTGTAGAATTTCATTAGACCATTGTCTTTTTGAGTTGTTTGATTATCTAATTGTTAAAAGGTAAAAGGGATTATTTAACAATTGGTTTCAACTAGAGCAAGTGAAAAAAAAATATAAAGGACAAAATTTTGTTAATTCTAATGGGAATGAACACATTTCTAATCATTGAATCTACTGCCGGCTGAGAAAAATTGCAACTAGCCCTAAGCGCATGCACTTATCAATTCAAAAATACTATGAAAATTGAGACTTGATATTTGAACAATTAATCATTTGAAATTTGTCAACTCCGTGAAGGCACCATTGAATGGTCAGACAGGCTATTTTATTTTACGTTCTTGTTCTAAAAAGATTCTACAAGTGTAAGGTCAGCAAGAGTGGGGAGAGCAAGAAAGAGGGGGTTCCTTGTGATAATATGTTTTTGATTGATGAACCTTGGCAATATACAATAAAGATTTTTTGGACCAAATTAACATACCAGTGCATATACATATAATTTTTCATAGGTTTATACAGTGGGGCAAAAAAGTAATTAGTCAGCCACCGATTGTGCAAGTTCTCCCACTTAAAAAGATGAGAGAGGCCTGTAACTGGCATCATAGGTAGACCTCAACTATGAGAGACAATATGAGAAAAACAATCCAGACAATCACATTGGCTGATTTGGAAAGAATTTATTTGCAAATTATGGTGGAAAATAAGTATTTGGTCAATATCAAAAGTTCATCTCAATACTTTGTTATATATCCTTTGTTGGCAATGACAGAGGTCAAATGTTTCCTGTAAGTCTTCACAAGGTTGGCACACACTGTTGCTGGCATGTTGGCCCATTCCTCCATGCAGATCTCCTCTAGAGCAGTGATGTTTTGGGGCTGTCGCTGGGCAACACAGACTTTCAACTCCCTCCAAAGGTTTTCTAAGGGGTTGAGATCTGGAGACTGGCTAGGCCACTCCAGGACCTTGAAATGCTTCTTATGAAGCCATTCCTTTGTTGCCCGGGCGGTATGTTTGGGATCATTGTCATGTTGGAAGACCCAGTCACATTTAACATCTTGAATGCCCTTGCTGATGGAAGGAGGTTTGCACTCTCAAAATCTCATGATATATGGCCCCATTCATTCTGTCCTGTACATGGATCAGTCGTCCTGGTCCCTTTGTGGAGAAACAGCCCCAAAGCATGATGTTGCCACCCCCATGCTTTACAGTAGGTATGGTGTTTCTTTGGATGCAACTCAGAATTCTCTCTCCTCCAAACATTACGAGTTGTGTTTCTACCAAACAGTTCTATTTTGGTTTCATCTGACCATATGACATTCTCCCAATCCTCTTCTGGATCATCCAAATGCTCTCTAGCAAACTTCAGACGGGCCCGGATATGTACTGGCTTAAGCAGGGGGACACGTCTGGAACTGCAGGATCTGAGTCTCTGGCGGCGTAGTGTGTTACTGATGGTAGCCTTTGTTACGTTGGTCCCAGCTCTCTGCAGGTCATTCACTAGGTCCCTTTGTGTGGTCCTGGGATTTTTGCTCACCGTTCTTGTGATCACTTTGACCCCACAGGGTGAGATCTTGGGTAGAGCCCCAGATCAAGGGAGATTATCAGTGGTCTTGTATGTCTTCCATTTTTCTAATTATTGCTCCCACAGTTGATTTGTTCACACCAAGCTGCTTGCCTATTGCAGATTCAGTCTTCCCAGCCTGGTGCAGGTCTACAATTTTGTTTCTTGTGTCCTTCATCCTTTGGTCTTCACCATAGTGGAGTTTGGAGTGTGGCTGTTTGAGGTTGTGGACAGGTGTCTTTTATACTGATAACAAGTTCAAACAGGTGCCATTGATACAGGTAATGAGTGCAGGACAGAGGAGCCTCTTAAAGAAGAAGGTACAGGTCTGTGAGAGCCAGAAATCTTGCTTGTTTGTAGGTGACCAAATACTTATTTTCCACCATAATTTGCAAATAAATTGTTTCCAAATCAGCTAATGTGATTGTCTGGATTTTTTTTCTCATTTTGTCTCTCATTGTTGAGGTCTACCTATGATGCCAATTACAGGTCTCTCTCATCTTTTTAAGTGGGAGAACTTGCACAATTGTTGGTTGACTAAATACTTTTTTGCCCCACTGTATATTTGCTTATACACGTCTGTATGTATTTATGTATTTACTTGTGGTCTATTAATAACTGGTTAAGAGAAGCTTTGGTTACATACCAGTA